GGGGGAGGGGACTGATGGGGGGGACACTTCGGGGGGGCCCCTTTGAAGGGGACACCCCTGGGGGAGGGGTCTGATGGGGGGACCCCTCGGGGGGATGGGGGACCCCTTTGAAGGGGACACCCCTGGGGGAGGGGACTGATGGAGGGGACCCCTCGGGGGCATGGGGGACCCCTTTGAAGGGGACGCTCGTGGGGGCAGGGGAGCTTTGGGGCATGGGGGCTCCTTTGAGGGGACACCCCTGGGGGTGGAGACCCCTTGCAGGGGGACCCCTCTGGGGAGGGAACCTCGGAGGAATGGGGGTCCCTTTGAAGAGGGGCACCCCTAGGGGCTGGAGTTCTCAGCTGTTGGGGTGCTGCATGTCATTGGGAGCAGGCCCCCTGGGGCCAGGGGGAGATGGCACTTGGGGTGCTGGGAGAGACCCAGAGCGCGGGTCTCTTGGGAGCAGGCGGCACCTTCAGGGTAGGGGAGGGCTGGGGGATGTGAGGGGCATGGGGTGCTGCCGCAGGAGGGAGCTGATCCAGTGTCTGCAGTGGGGTGGGTGAGTTCCTCCAGAACCTTACTCTGGTTTTCTTAAGGCCCAGTGATGGGGAGCAGGTAGGTAGGAGATAGAGGTTGGCGTTGGCATAAGGGGGTTATAGGGAGAGGTTGTGGCAATGGGGAAGGATGTTTGGCAGGGAGGTGGGCTACCTTATTGTTTAGGCTAAGATTTTGTCAGTTATTTTCAGTAAAAGTCGTGGACAAAAACAATTCACAGGAACCATGACCTGTGTGTGACTTTGATTAAAAGTAACCAGAGGGCAGGGCTAAGGATGTGTGTGTCGGGAAGAGGGACAGGGGTTGATTGATAGCAGGAGTCCCATGGAGCGGGAAGGACCGGCCAAAACCCAGCACCGTGGGAGTGAGATACAGCTTCAGCAGCCTCAGACACATAGCCACTGGGCTGGAGGGGGCAGAGCCCTGTGGCTCACTGTAGCCCCCAGTGTAAGCCATAGGACAGGAGAGCATGATCCCCACTGCAGAACAGGCGTGCATGGCTTTGGCTCCTGTCCCCACCATGGGAAGGGGGGCACACCGCTCTGGTTTCAGCCTCAGCTGCAGGGTAGGTGTGCACAGTCCCACCTCCAGCCTTGGCTTCTGCCACTGACAGCTGAAGCCAGAAAGTCATGGAGGTCTGGTAAAGTCATGGAATCTGTGACTTCTGTAACGTCTGTCACTAAATCGTCGCCTTACTTATGTAATACATTCAAGCAGTGGGTGGGTGTGATTTTGCATTTGTTTCAGTTTTACAAGGTTGGGGTGGGGAAAGTCTCAAAATTCATCAAAATATGTGTTGCTTTTTTTTATGGATAGTCCCCGAACCCAAATTTATGACATGTCAGTCAGTTGATGCTGTTGTTTGACATGTCCAAGCAAGTTACTGGTCAGCTGTAGTAGTTCATGGCTCAGATTTGACCTACTTACTGACTCTTGCACAGCTATGCACAGCACCTGAGTTCTAGGTCTAATCTGGATGGACAAACGATTTTTGTTTGAAATAACTCGTTTTAGTGCTGTGCTGTAGAGTGTTTGGGGCTGTGTCTTTATTAAAACCTGAGCTGTGTTTGAGGCCAGATTCAACCTTAAAATACAGCTACACAACTCTCAATTTAGACCACGTGGGCTGCATGTATTTATGGGTATCAGTTGCCCCAATGTGATTGGTTTAGCAGTTAATGGATTTGCCTTCCTTCATTAGAAATAAAGCTCAGCACCAATACAAAATGTGTATCCGCATTAGATCCGTAAACATGGTCCACGGATACAATGCGAATATCCACGGATTTGCAGGGCTCTAATTAGGAATAATGAGAATAAAAGTGTGTGTTGGAAAGTCAAGTTTTAAAATGCTAGAAAGTTAGTAGCCACTCAGAAGTAGTGACTGTCTCAGCTGTGTTTCAGATCCAATCCAGATGTTTTTGAATCCCGCATGGAGAAACGAAGTGAAGTGAAAAAGCAGCCAGTGGGGCATTCCAAACAAATGGACTTCATCAGATATATGGAAGAAAAGGCAAGACCAATTGTTAAATTAAATTCAGTGTTCTGTTTAAATTAGCTCGAAACTGTCATCTTTTACAACTGTAGTCTAGGAATCAGAATTAAAAAACGTACCTGTTCTATAGTGTCTGAATGAATGTGCAAGACTCATTGGCAATATGCATGACAGGTGCTTGCTCCAAGTGGTGGTGTTGCTATTACTAAATGCTGCATTTTAATCTTATTTAAAGTGTTTGTGATCAATCACTGCTCCAGCTCAATTGTCACATGGTCTTCAATCTTTTTTATGAACGAAATTAATTATTGAATACTATTAAATCTGGATTTGGCTTCTGTAGGTCCCCTCTGGCATTCCCAACCTGAAGCTGAATCACTGATAAAAGTGAAGTGGTTGGGCAGCTGTCCATTGATTTTGTAATTAGTAATTCACATTCATGTACTCTGCTTATTATTGTTTACTCGTCCGGATCCAATATTTTATCTGAATTAATTGCATTTTAGTATTTTTACCTCTCATTCCCTTCCAGAGCTGCTGCTATAGTGCTGCAGGGGCACTGCCTTCTCTTGGTGGGTGTGAAGACATAACGCAGAGTTAATTTTTCAACAGCTTTTTTCTTTGTGTGAAGAATTAGTGCACCACTTACCGAATCTGGACTGGGGTAGTGAATGAATTGCCTTAAAGTGCACTGCCAGGATTACAGGACGAGGTTTTAAATTACTTTTTAAAAAGAAAACTATTTATACTCTTGCAAAAAACTTCTCTAGCAACCAAAAACATTATTTAAATACTGACTTCTGCATCAGATGACCCAACACCCCCTGAAGGGTGCTGAAACATTGGCTGCATCACATTAGGACCTTACTTTGGTGGGTTACTCCATTTTTATGAGCCTGAATTGCATGGATGTGTAAACAAATTCAGGTCTGAGAACTGTGGAAATTACCAGCTACTTGATTAAGAGGCTGGAAGGGACTGATCTTTGAGGAAAGATATAGGCCTCAATTCAGTAAGAAACTTAAATTTATACCTAACTCTAAGCATGTTGATGTTAAAGTCAAGGAGGCCATTTATGTGCAAATACTTTGCTGTCTCAGTTCTTAAAAAAACCCTATGTTTTAGTTTGCTTAGGCAGGGTCTAAAAGAAGAGTTCCTCTTCCAATACTTATAGGAAGCTAAAAACACCAAGAAGGGAGGGGAATTAGGGGTATAAAAAGAGTAATAAGAAAAAACTGAACAATGCAGACTTCAGATTCAGTTTTGGGAAGCATTTTCTGTTTTCTCTCTTAGATGGAGAACACTTTCCAGGGTTTTTTTTATACTGGTAAATGACCCATTGCCGCCAATGGTCGTTAGCAATATGTTCCCCAGATTCATTTTCACCACTGTTACCGTGAGAATGATTTGAAATCTTGTTTTTCTGAATATGGAATATACTTGCATGCTTTAAAGGTGTTAAAAGTAGTGTTGTCCTATTCACGGGAGTAGTTAAATAATTTTCTGTGCCAGTTAAGGTGGAGACCAGGGATGTAAAATCCCATTTAATTAGTTAACAGGTTATAACCAGTTAACTGATTGAATGGGGACAGTCTGGAGAGGCCCATATGCCATGGGCAGGGGCTACTCCAGCCCGGCTGCTTCTGGCCACGTGCTGGTCTGCCGGCTTCTAGCCCACATGGGCTGGGAGTCAGAGCCTTGAGTGGGACTGGAAGCGGTAGCCCCTTCCTCATGAGGCTGCCAACTCCCAGGCCGTGAGCCTGTGCGGGCTGGGAGCTGGCAGTAGGGATGTTAAATTTAGTTGAGTCAACTAATTGACTACTCGATGAATTTTCCGTCGATTAGTCGATAAGCGGTGCTGTGGCTCTGCCTTTTAAATGTATTGAGAGCCTGTCGGCTGGTACGCAGCAGGGGAGCCAACAAGATCTTAATACATTTGAAAGGCTGGTGCGCAGCAGGGGGGCGCAGCACGAGCCGGCCTCCCTCCTCCCCCACCCCGTGCTTCTGCTTTTTAAATGAATTCAGAGCCAGCAGGCTCTTAATACATTTAAAAAGCAGAGGGGCAGCATCTGGGACTAGGCACAAGTCGGAGATCAGTTGCTCCCTGCTACCTCTCTGCCCCCTGCGGAGACAGTGCTGGGGGGAACCAGCTTTTAAGCTGGCTCCCCCCAGCTCCTGCTCCCCCCCCTTGCTGCCTCTGATGGGGGGGAGGGAGGCAATAGGGATGATAAGCAAAGCTTATAGGTCAATGCTCTAGACTACTCGCATTTCCCTCCCCCTGCCCTTGCCAGTCACTTTTTTAGCAGGCTGGCCAGCAGCCCAGCTCAGTCCTGGCTTACGACGGGTCCGGGCAGAAGCACAGGGCATCAGGCAGCCGGTCTACGAAGGGAGATGGATTTGAAACTGGCTCCCCTCGCAGACCAGCTCCCGCCTGGCATCCTGCGCTGCTGCCTCGGATACAGAGGCAATCCTGTGGGCTGGAGCAGCCCTCCACCTGTGGCAGGCCATGAGTGGGGAGCTGCTCCTGGGTAAGTGGATAACCATTATTCAGTAAGCATCACCTGTGAACCGGTTACCCAGAAAGAATCGCCCTTCACTGGTTACCTGTTCACATCCCTAGTGGAGACGGTTCTGACAAATACCCTTCACAGCAGACTGCTTTGTGTGTAGACTGGGGCTAGAGAAATGCTGGAAGCCCCATTGCTTGAGGCTTTTTCAAAAGATCCAAGATTTTGAAGCAATGGGCAGTCCTTCACTGGCTACAAGGGTGAACTAGTCATGGCATCTTAGCAGCTATTTCTGTCTCTGATTTCTGCGACTCTTGTTTTTGTGCTCCAAGAACAGAGCAGAGGGACAACGCAGTGGTTATGACCATCTCGTGTTAAAGAAAAGCTGTCGATCTAATTTTTAGGCCTTGTCAGTGCCTCTTTAGCAGCACACGGTTGTTGACTGCGTAGGTATGTCCTTTGATTTCTTCACTTCTCCCCACTGGGCACAAGCACGACTGATTTTTGTCAGAGGGCATATTGCGTGTGGCGGATCGGGCTGTGCAAATAACACGAAAACAAAATTAGAACTTTAAGGATGTGTGTTTAATTTTAGGCAGAAGCCTTGGGCTCGAAGGCATCAAAGGAAGGATTCACAAAAGATAAGGTGAGATCAAATGGACCCCGGTACCCGGCTCTGGCATGCCTGGGAATCAAGCCTGGAGATTGATTTTAAACATCGCTTTCTCGCTAGGCCAGTTCTCGTGTGGGATGCAAGAGTCTGAAATTCCTTATGTTGTAGCTCATGCTAAGATTGATTTTTCTTTCTTTTTTTGGGGGGGTTGTACGGGTTGGACCTCCTTGATCCATCACTCTTGGCACCTGACCAGTCCCAGATGAGGGATTTTGCCAGACGTGAGGAAGTCATTTCTGGATTCCCCTGCTGCTGCCCCTCCCCGCCCAAGCCCACTGGCCTCCTACCCGGCTCCTCACTTTCTACTGGCCCCACTGCCCTGCCAATCCTGCTGGGCAGCCATTGCTGCCCTGGCTCCAGGACCTGCCAGGTAGCCGCGGATCCCCATCCCACTGAGCTACCGCAGCTCCCAGTCCTGCCGGGTAGCCACATGCATGTCTCCCAACCCCACTGGGCAGACCTGCTGCTGCGCACTGAAGGCGGGCTCGCTGCGGGCAGCCCACCGCCCAGCGGACCCTGCAGGGATCCTTGCCACTGGCCTTCCACCGGGACTCTGAGGTCCTGCAACATCTGTGCTGGACCATAGATATTGCCGGACCAGAGAATCCCGGCTAAGAGATAATTAAGTGTGCCAGGTATGGCTTAAATTAGGGACATGAATGGGCAACCGGTTACCCAGTAACAGGTGATGCTTACTGGGTTCCGGTTAACCCAGGGGTGGGCAAAAGGGCCTCCATGGGTTGATCCAGCCCACAGAGGCCCTGCTGCTCCTCTGCCCCAGGTCAGTCAGGGCCTAGGGCTGGGGCAGAGCATGGCGCTTAGTCAGTCAAGGTTGACTCTAAGCCCTGCATGCCAGAGGGCAGGGAGCAGGAGGCTTCGTGCCTCCCCCCCTTAGGCCAATCAGGGCCTGGAGGTGGGGAAACGCGCAATGTCTCCTCCTGCCCTGCAAGGGGCTCAGCACTTGGAGTCAGCCGCCAGCTGCTGCTCAGCTGGGTGACTAAGTGCAGTGCTCCCTTGCAGGGCGGGGCAGACTTTGCATGCTGTCCCCGTCCCTGATTGACCTGAGGGTAGTGAAGGAAGCGCACAAAGTCTCCTCCCACTGCCAGGGTGTGGGTGCCTAGAGGGAGCCGCCAGCTGTTCCAAACAGCTGGCGGTTCTTTCTGGGCAGTGTGGGGTGGGGGAGGGAGACTTCATGTGTATCCTGGTTCCGTCCCTTCTTCCCTGAGGCCCCGCCCCTTCCGGGCCACTTAAAAAAATTTCTGAAGTGGCCCCTGTTAAAAATTATTGCCCATCTCTGGGTTAACCAGTACCCAGGAGCAGCCCCCCGCACACGATTGCTGCAGGCAGAGGGCTGCTCCTGCCCCGACTGCAGGTGGGCGGGGAGCAGAAGCTGTCTTCTCCATGCTTGGGGCTGTCGGCCCTCAAGCGTGGGGCAGGGGCAGCCCCTCACTGTCCCAAGCATAGAATGTGGGCCGGGCTAGTGGCTGCCAACCAGCCTGCGTGGGATCCTGCTTAATTGGTTAAACCTAGTGTTTAACTGGTTAACTGGGATTTTACATCCCGGCTACGTCTACATTGGCCCGTTCTCCGGAAGAGGCATGTTAATTTCCAACATCAGAATAGGGAAATCCGCGGGGGATTTAAATAAACATGGCCGCCGCTTTTTTTCCGGCTTGGGGAAAAGCCGGAAAAAAGATTCTAGACTGGCGCGATCCTCTGGAATAAAGCCCTTTTCCGGAGGAGCTCTTATTCCTACTTTGAAGTAGGAATAAGAGCTCCTCCGGAAAAGGGCTTTATTCCGGAGGATCGCGCCAGTCTAGACGCTTTTTTCCGGCTTTTCCCCAAGCCGGAAAAAAAGCGGCGGCCATGTTTATTTAAATCCCCCGCGGATTTCCCTATTCTGATGTTGGAAATTAACATGCCTCTTCCGGAGAACGGGCCAATGTAGACGTAGCCGGGATGTAAAATCCCAGTTAACCAGTTAAACACTAGGTTTAACCAATTAAGCAGGATCCCACGCAGGGGGGTGGCAGCAGGAGCCGGCAGCTCCAAGCGTGGAATGGTGGACTCCTGCTCCCCGTGCCCCCATGAGTGGGGCCCTAGTTTACATGAGATGTCGCTTCTGAACCCGCTGCAGCCTGGATTCTTTCTACCACTGAACTGCCTTCATTGTGAGTCCTTTGTGCTTTCTTTTGCAGACCCTTGATTCAGTACTGAATGTTGAAATGGTGAAGGAGAAAACACCAGAGGAAATAAAACAGGTGAACATGTTAAAATTCATGCTAAATGTCATTTTGGAGTTCACGTGTTAGTTTTCTGTGTGTGAGGCTGCAATGTGCACTTGGAAGAATTATGCAAATAAAGGAATCTCTTTCAGCCAAACATTAAAACAAATGAAAAAAGCTCTTTTGGGATTAGGTAATGGGACCTGGAACACCTTTGTGAAGCTCCGCAGAGCATAGCTTGACCTCATCAGTCAACAGTTGGCTTGAATGCAATTGGCAGTGTCCCAACAATTGAGCAAGGGTGTAACTGAATTGCCTGCTCACCAGCTGCAGTCGGATTTGAAAGTAGATTTGGTGGGGCATCTTTCAGGAAGCTACGGTTGCCTGTGTTGCACCCTGTTCTGCCATTCTTCAGAAGAACCAAAGTCCTCTGGCTCTGAGCGGGCTGCCTTTCACTAGCACTAACAATGCTCACGGTGAGGAGAGGGAAGTGAATTATTATTAAAAATAGCAGGATTAAAGGTTGTTTTCCTGGCACACTTGTGAGCCTTGCACTGAGATCTATTTTCCTCTTTTATCTATTTAAAAATCTGCTTCCATTCTACATCTCTGAAGCAGCCTAGCTCAAGCAAAGTTTTTTGCTTCTCAGATTGAGAGACGATAAAGTGTTTGAGGATATCTTGCATACACACGATCTCTAAGGCAGCACCAAACTTCCAAGTTTTCATTTGTTAAAGGCCTCTCTGAAGATTCTGATTAAGTATTGAGGATTATAGGGAGGTAGTATTGTCTAGCAGTTAGAAAAGAGTTTTGAGAGGGAGTGTTGTATGTCTAACTGCCTCTAAGATTATTAATGACGTTGGGCTGAGCGTATAGAATCATAGAATACTAGGACGGGAAGGGACCTCGAGAGGTCATTGAATCCAGTCCCCTGCCCTCATGGCAGGACCCAGTACTGTCTAGACCATCCCTGATAGACATTTATCTAACCTACTCTTAAATATCTCCAGTGATGGGGATTCCACAACCTCCCTGGGCAATTTATTCCAGTGTTTAACCCCCCTGACAGTTAGGAACCTTTTCCTAATGTCCAACCTAAACCTCCCTTGCTGCAGTTTAAGCCCATTGCTTCTTGTTCTATCCTCAGAGGCCAAGATGAACAAGTTTTCTCCCTCCTCCTTGTGACACCCCTTTTGATACCTGAAAAGTATAACTCACTTTCCCTGTATGTGTAACAAAAGGAATAATACCAACCCAACTTTATCAAATGTTTTGAAAATTCTTATGACTTACTTAAAAGTAAGAAGCGTAACTCTATGTACACAGGGCATGTCTAAACTAGGAAACTTATTTTGAAATAACAAATCCATTTAATAACTCCCGAAATAACAAAATTGAAATAGTGTGTCCTTGCTACGGGCAAGCTTTGAAATCAGTCCGAGGCCGGTTCTTTTTATTGTGGAGGTACTACCTTGACTTATAGCCCCAGGAATCACTGGGGAGTAATTAGTTTGAATTACTCTGGGGAATAGTTATTTCAAAATAGCAGCACTGGAGCATCCATACTACTGCTATTTCAAGATAACTATTTCAAAATTAGTGTTGTTCCCCGAGGAAAGCAGGAATACTGATTTTGAAATAAGTGGCTCATTATTTCAAAATAATGTGGACGCTCCACTTATTAATTCGACCTAAGGGAGGTTATTTCAAAATAAAGCCCTAGTGTAGGCCAGGGCACAGAGAATTGTTAAAAATGTAAGTTACTAATCTTCTGATAGGAGAGATCTTGTACATTTCTTTCTTAGAAATAATCTTTCACTTGAGAGAGTTGTGAAAAGTCACACGGTTTGACGTATTTCTCACCATTACTAACCTGGCGGCCATCAAATCTGATCCTGTTATTTATGGCAGTTGTCTGGATAAAGTATGCGTTGTTTGGTACTGATAGTTTTGGAGCATTATATAGGAAATTAGGGGTTTCAGAAATACATGGAAAAATGGCCCTTGCCCTGATAGGCTTACAATCAAAGAGTAGTTGACAAATGAGTACTTACTTTAAAAAGTGTTTTATATTAAATGCTAGATGCTTTTCTGTGGTCTTAATCGTATCTGGTTTCCCTCCTTTCTTACAGATCTGGAAGCAGTATTTTTCTGCAAGAGATACAGTTTATGCAGTTATTCCCGTAAGTAGTTACCGTAGCAAAATGAACAGTTGAACATCACATTTCTTTTGCTCTGAAGACTTTACAGTCTATATTAATGTATGACCCAACAAAAGGGCAAAGAAAACAGCAGGGAGAGGAAATTTGTGGAACGCTTGAACAAGATTACATGGTTATGCAGCATAACTAGTAAGATACATAAGATTCTGCGCTGGTTAGACGTCAAGTGGAGTCCTGTGTCTTATAAAGATTAACGGAGCGCCTGAGTGATAACCGTATATCCATTATTTTCATGTTGCGAAAGTTTAATTTAATGATCTTATTTCTTGAAAGGCAGAGACGTTTGATTTGATGTGGAAGCGTGCCCAGACCTGTCCGTCGGTAAGTGTGATCTATACTGCATGCATGTGCAGCTTTAATGGGTTTCGTCTCTCTAGAAGTGAAACTAGACTTTTGACCTTTGGTTCTTCAGACTAACTGTAGTAACTTGATTGGTGAAAGCCAGCTGATCCAGTATTGGTTTTAGCGATCAGATACGATCACTCATCGCTGTCAAACATTTCAGTATGTCCGGAACAGGCAAAGAGTTTCACAACCGTATCTGGACACCAGTTTCCCAAGTTTAGTTTTATCCTGGAAATGTAACGACATAGCTCGATTTCACTTTATTAGGTGCCATGTGCTTAAATCTGATTGCTGCCCTGTGGAGAAACCAGCTTTGTATGCCAGCTTTATTGACACTGCTGCATAGTGACCCCCCCCCCGTTGCTGATCCTGAATTGCTTTCTTAATTAACCTTCAGGCTAATGGCTTGATATAGCACCATTGAGCACCGCTAGCATTGTGTCAGGCCTGACGTGTTGAATATGTTTGCTCTGCAATGGACCACATCCCTTTGTTCCCCACGCGCAGATCATGGTCGCTCCCTGAGGAATGGCCACAGCACCTTTTCCACAGCAGCAACCTCTGCGTCACATCTGTGTCTGCTTCTGTACAGCTGCATGTCTCATTGCTCACCCTGCTCCTGGCAAGTTCATTGCAGATGTAGTCACCCTGTGCTGGATTGCTCCTGACTCCACCCCATGCTAGTGCTGCTGGATAGGGTGCAAGGGGCATGACAGACATGTCAGACTCCCTGCTGAAGAACCCCGTTGGTACCGGTACATTGATAGAATCTTGTTTTGCCCTTTGGCTCACATAACAGCAACAAAACCGATTTAAAGGCCTAAAAAACATGAGCCTGCTATTCAGGGCAACTTGTAGCTCTGTGTATCCTACACTCCATCCTCAGTGTCAACAAGGCCCAAGTTCTGTCTCCATAACCATCTCCCTTCTGTGGCTCCCCGTTTCATGCAGTGGGGGTGCCCGTTTGTTCTGTTGGGGGCTGGGAGCCCGTATAACGCTGCCTGTCTTTTCTCTGCAGTTCCTATGTGCTTTGCCAAGGAAAGAAGGCTACGAGTTTTTTGTGGGGCAGTGGTCAGGCTCAGAACTGCACTTCACTGCGCTGATCAACATTCAGGTGGGTGGATCTGATGGTATCACTCCCCAGGGGTAGAGGAGAGACCCCAGATGCATTTGGCTCTGATTGACATCGAGAAGTAGATGCGACCTGAAACGAAACCACCCAACCCTGCATAACGGAATCATTCCGTAAAATGCCAAGCAATAGCTTGCGCTGTTTCCTCCAAGTGCCATGCAATGCAGCATTTCTGCTGCTGGTGTGTGTTTTTAAATGAGCCGTTCTAATTCAGTGAGGATGTAGCCCTTCGTCGTATTGGAAACGAAAGGGGTTGTCATCATCTTAGCTGTTTGTTCAGCCCTTACTGGTTTTATTCCAGTTTGCTTTGATCGAATACGACAAATCATCTGTCAGCCTTCCTGTTCTGCAGATCTACCCTACCTCTTCCTAGCCCACCTTGCTCAAGTAAGCAAGGTTTCCTTTCACATATCCTCAGCAATCGGTCTCTGCATAAAGTATTCGACTGAAGACAGTTTGTGGGAGGAGATAACTCAGAGGAACGAATGTCACAGAGCGAACCTTGGAGGTCTCCCACCCAGGTACAGAGCGTGTCTGAACCTGCTTAGCTTGCTGAATCAGAAAACTGGAACATGCAGAACTGTAACTGCAAGTCAAAGAGTACAATCCCATTTTTTTAAAAAGATGTGGACGATTTTCTGGACTCTTACGCACAGGCAAAGGGAAGAGCAGTCGAATACTTCCTCTGTAGATTTGGAAGCACTGTACAAAGGAGACTCAAGCTCATCCTCTCCAAATAAAAATCACGAACTCATGTGTCAGGGTGGTGCTGCACGCCTGGAATTGCTGTGCTTTTGGATTTGAAACCAAAGAGCTGACAGGTTATCGCCACTAAGAACAACTGCATGGTACAAGTTTTATGTTTATAAGAAACACATGGGATCTTTTTCAGGGGAAAAGGCAATATGCCATGTTTATTGAGAATACAGTAGAGAAGAAGTTAGCATATGCTTTATAAAGACACCCCCACACACACACACACACATACACCCAGTTTCTAAATAAATAGCGGATGTGGGGGAGAAGGAAAAAGGTGGGGAAAAAAGGGATAGTCAGAGTGTCCCTGCTACGTGAAGCTGATAAAGAAGGCACAGATCCAAATAGACATCATCTTCCTATCTAAGGGTGTGTCCAGACTACAGGTTTTTTTTTTTTTTAAAAAGTGGCCTTTTTTCAAAAAAAACTGCACCTGTGTCTAGACTGCTGCTGTGTTCTTTCGAAATTAAATCGAAAGAACATGGCAGTTTTTTCGACTGCGGAAAACCTCATTTTACGAGGAATAACGCCTTTTTCAAAAGTGCTCTTTTGAAAAAGCGGCTCTCTTTTCAAAAAAAGAGGCTTGTAGTCTAGATGTACCCTTAAAGTGCCAAACAATGGGTACTTAAGAATACTTAGTACCTTCTGTATCAGCTTCATGTGGCATGAACACTCAAATTGACTATTCTTTTCCCTTTTTTCCCCTTCTTCCTTCTCCTCCCCCCACGCTATTTATTTAGAAACTGAACCTTTCAGAACTTCAGTCATCTGAAGAAGTGCGCTGTGCCCACGAAAGCTTATGATACCATCAACATGTTTTGTTAGTCTCTATGGTGCTGCAGGACTATTTGTTGTGTTTAAAATTTTTTAAAATGTCTATAAACACTTTCGCTTCTAACCCCTCTGTGACTTGTGTTGTATACCAGCATAGTTATTCTTGTCCAATCAGAAATAGGCTTTCTGATTTCGCATCTTACAGCTAGTTTCATACCTATTTATTATGTAGGTAAATTATTATCTAGAATAAACCTTTTTTAGAACAACAGGAATTGTCCGCAACACAAGAACTCTATTTTGGACTTTTTTGTGACACATGAAAATGACTGAATCATTGGGCTGGAGGCTGGTGGTTGCCTGGAGACCAACAGTCATAACCTGATTACTCTCAATAGGTGCAAACAAAGGAAAATCCCAGCCAGTAATAGCGATAACTTGGTGCTTTAAAAGGGCTAGTTTTCCAGAGATGAGGAAAGTTTTCAGAGGAATTGACTGAGGGGGAAAAATTTAGACAGAAAAATATGAATGAAATGTGGAAATTATTTAGGAAGAGTTTATTAGATAGCCAGAAAGCAGTGATTCCACAATCAATCGACTGAACATCTTTGCTTAAAATCCAATACTGGTTCAGTGGTGAAGCATTAAATGCCAATCCTGGTTCACTGGTGAAGCGAAGGCAACAGTTAGAAATAAAAAGGAATATATAACAAATGGAAAAAGGGCGGAGGGGAGGGGAGAGAAGATAGCAGTCAATATAAAATTTGAAAATCTGAAGGGTAGAAATTGATCAGGGCAGCTAAAAACGCCAGTGAAAAATCCATGGCTGACAGGGCTAAGGATAATGAGACGGAGGTTTTTAAACATAGCAGGAACAAAAGGAATTCTAGCAATAGGAGAGGATCATTACTAACTGTCGATGGTAAAACTGTTAGTGATGCAGAAAAGGCAGAAGTGCTCACAAAATTATTTCTGGTCTGTATTTGTGAAGAAGCAGGATAATGTACTCCCCTCACATGAAGACGATGAAGTATTTTTTCATTCATTAGTGACGTTAAACGACAACTTCTGGGGATTTGGAATGTAAAAAAGGTTTTAAAACCTTTAGACCAGGACTGGAGGCCTTTCTGGAAGTTGAGCTGTAGCTGAACACAAGTGATTGGGCTCGATACAGGGGTAACTGGGTGAGATTTAATGTACTATCCTGCCGTTCAGGTCAGAAGATCTAATAGTCAGTCCCTTCTGGCCTTAACCTCGATGTGTCTGTGACTTACTGTTGTCTACAGACCCACAGACGTGCAAATGATTGATTCCTAGTTCAGACTGCCTCTCCTTGACCTTCCTAGGAGGGACTCTGAAGGAGTGAGTCTATCCATGCAGCGAGTATTCACATTTTTTGATTAGCAGACTATTAAATATGCAATAGATCTAGAGTTCTTTCCAAGGCACTCTTAAGAAATCTCTGTTCTCTCCTGCAGACCCGAGGTGAAGCCGCCTCTAGCCAGTTGATATTGTACCATTATCCAGAACTCCAAGAAGAAAAGGGGATAGTGCTAATGACTGCCGAAATGAATTCCAATTTCCTGGTAAGAGAATCCCATATTGGTTCTTTAGTGTTATACTAAGATCTGATACTCCGTCTTTAAAAGCAATTAAAAGCTAAGTCCTGTAAATCCACAATGAACAGAATCCGGTGATTTTTCTGAATGAGAAGTGCTGCTGCTTTTCCATCCTTCCCCTAAAGTAATTAGACTAAAGAAATCTACAGCTATCCACTGAATAGTAAACCTAAGGTAAGGCCAAAAACTCCCAAAAGCCTGCAGTCTGGGTGTCTAGTGATTGTAGTTTATGCTGTCTATTTTTTTTCCCCCATTAGCAAAATACTGAAGGATAATTTAGAAAAGTGCAGGATTTGGAGCCTCAGTTTCTCCTTTTTAAGGAAGGAGATTTAAAGAATAATGATAAAAAGTTGGCACTTACCAACAATGTTAAAACACGCTTTTTAAAATGAACACTGATAGACAAATCAAAAAGCCTATATTAAAGCCTGCTTTGGATTTTCCTTGTGCCTTCCCCTACTCTGAGTAAGGATGTAATTCTACTGAGAGAGCTGAACTAGTGCATGTCATGAATTATGGGACTCTTATTGCCAAGATCATTAATTGCATGTTTGTATAATGTTTTAGTAGAGGATCTGCTGTTGAAGGGGCAGAGTTAAGGTGATTTGATGATGTGTGGAACAATTTGCCAAAGGAAGTGATAGTCTTTCCATCACTTGAAGTGTTCAGATCAATACTGGAGGCCTTTCTGATAACTCTGTTAGATTCGAGTATATCTGTTGGATTCAGTGCTGGAGCAGACTAATCTAATGGTCTCTTCTGGTCTTAACATTTACGAGTGTAGATGCCTTAACTCTGCATATCCACACTTCAGCAAAATAAATGGAAACATTTTACCTTAATGGACATTTTCTTCTCCGATACTTAATGATTTTCAATCACCCCAATGTTCTATTATTGCTGCATTTCTGATTTTAACTTGGTTACCAAAGTTTTGTTTGTGAATTATATTTTTATATCAGATTCTAAATACTAGAGCGAGACAAATCTCAAAATAAAAACAGTTCAGTGGATATTTATATGAATTTTTAAATGTTTATTCCTTTTTTCTCTGTTTTCTGTAATGTTTCCATAAACTAATTCTACAGCCTCATTCCACTGTTTTTACTCCTGAACAGGATCTTGTTCCTGGCTGTTTTTTTTTTTTCTTGTACATGTCCTCTCTTGAAGATTTCACAATGTCTTGATTAGCTCTTTGCTCAGTGTACACACAGGCACCCCACGTGAGACATTTGCATATGACACCCTTGACCGGAGGAGAGAGATTGCAGTGTGTGTTATCTCTTGCTATGAAAGGAATTTGTGTGTGACTTGTCATTATCCTGGTTACCTGCCTTAAGAACACAATTTGCAGTATACACAGAGCTCCTTAATATTATCTATATGTACATTGCATAGTGATTGATGTCCAGTGGGCTACTGGCTCTCGGGAAACACCTCACATGCCACCCTGTAGCGAATTATTTTGCATATAGCTGACCAGGGATCTCTGGAAAAGCTCTGTGTGCCCCTTGTGGCATCTGTCTATTAGCATCCATCAGTCCCTGGTCACAAAGATTCATAGAAATAGTGTGGAAATTGGAGAATACTCGAGGGAAATGTATTTTTAATTCAGAAACATTGTGTTGGATTAAGCTTGGTTGTTAGTTGCTCAGCCAGTCCGGAAACAGAAACATGTGACCTTGGAATTCCAATCAGAATGAACCAGCTCAGCTGGTTTGAGAGGGAATATGCTAGAGGTATATAAAATCATGAGAGGTGTGGAGAGGCTGAATAAAGAAAAGTTATTTATTAGTTGCCATAATAGAAGAACTAGAGGACACCAAATGAAATGAATGGGTAGCCGGTTTACAACTAATTAAAAGAAAGTTGTTCTTCACACAGCGCATAGTCAACCTGTGGAACTCCTTGCTAGAGGATGCTGTGAGGGCCAAGAATAAAAGAGGATTCAAAAAAGAGCTAGATACATTCATGGAGGATAGGTCCATCAATGCTTTTTAGACAGGGATGGTGTCCCTAGCTTGTGTTTGCCAGAATCTGGGAAGGGGCAACAGGGGATGGATCACTTAAAGATTCCCTGTTCTGTTCATTCCCTCTGGGGCGCCTGACGTTGGCCACGGTCAGAAGACAATACTAGGCTAGATGGACCTTATGGCCATTCTTATGTTCTTAAAATAAAATCTCACCTCTGACAGAATTTTATACTGGTAGACATAGGAATTGCAGTGTTTAATACAGAGTATTACTGAATGTTTTTAGGGAGGAAGTCCAACGAGCAATAGAAGGGAAAGGTAAGGGGGTTCTGTTCAGAGTCGGGGAGGAAGGTGGCAGGGGGTGCTTTGGTTCCTGAAAATCGTTGCTCTGAGAAGACCAGGTTTGTAAGAGTGACACTGAGGTAAATAGGCCAATGCAACGGGCTTGTAGAGAGCTTTGACAAACTAGCACAACTTTGAATGGTGTTAGGAACGGGGTAGGAAGCTTGCTAAGGTAACAGAAGCAGACTGGAGAGGGATTTGTTTGCAGCTCATCATCAGCTACCCAGTTTTTTTGAAAGGGGAACTCGCTTTCATGCCATTAGCGCTGCTTTTACTGTGTGACACGGTCTTCTCTTTTCCTTTTTAAACCTTGCAGAGTGTCCCTGAAGCTCAGTGCCTCGCCAATCAGGCACAGCTTTTCTATGCGACAGATCGTCCAGAGACCTACAGATTAGTGGAGACCTTCAACCACAGACCTAATGAGTTTAAGTACATGGCAGTTATCACGGAGCTGGAGCAGAGTGGACTGGGAAGAGAATTGAGACCTAAATGGGACTCTGACAAAGCCTAGCATCTGATGGGCACCGCATCTGGTCCAGAGACAACTGGAACTACTCACCGGAAAGGGTCCTTGGCACAGGAGTTTTTTTTTTTTTTAAATCGGGGCAGGCACCATTTTTTACATGGCGGGGGCAGGGGTGAGGCCTGTTTGCTGCAAAGCTGCTCTGGACAAAAGAAAGGTTCAGGGAGTGAGATTCACCCGGGCTGTCTTGTACAAGGAAATGTGGCAGCCAAACTCGGGCCAAACGGGAATGCTGCACCTTAGCACAACCTCATCACAACAGCTTACTCTCTCTTTCGGCAACTTACGCCTGAGTTCTGTGTTTCTTTTGGCTATGATAAATCAAAGGCGAGAAGGGAAGCCGCTTACCGGACGATGTCAACCATGGGAGAAAGACAACAAAGGACGTTTGTGTTCAGTAAAAGCTAGTTGGAAGTTGCCCTCCACTATAACGGCATGGGTCAATGCTTTGTATCTGGTCTGAAGATTATAAATTCCCCTCTTCCATCCAGCAGTGAAAAGATAATGCAGTTGATGACCGGCTCTCCTTTGTTGATGAACATGTGATGATGCATGCTTTGCTTTCTGTGTTAGTGCAGCTCAGGACAAAGCACACTCAGCTGACTTAGATTTGGGAATGTCCAGTGTTTTAATGGAGGCATGAACTTCATTCAGGTGCCCGGCTGTTAGGCGCTCTGCTGATGACAGGATGTGATTAAACAGCGTTTTCTTTTTGCATATGGGGCTTTTCAAAATGATCCAGCAGATAATTAACATGTTTTAGAGATCATCATCATTATTGTCAGAAGCCCCCTGCACAGCCAGCATTGAAAAGAGGTAAAATATAACTCCCCAGTATGGTTTGGGAAAGATGTTGTGTGCAGCATTCAAAATAGTCCCGAATAGAGAGCTTTGTAATTCTGCTTCGGATCCTCATGGGATAACACACATGCACTGGAGGAAATCTACACACTTGACAGAACAGCCATTAAAATGAGTGTGTCTTAACGAACCTCAGTGATCTCTGTTGAAACTAGCGCCTTTCCTGCAAGGATCTTACAAGCTGTGCTTGAGGTCCCGTTGTTTGCCATGACAGCGGGAAACAGCCGCTGCATCCCTGAGCAAAGGCCGTAACGAGACGTCCGGTGAGGATGCAAAAGCTTTGCGTAGATCGTTGATACTGTGGTGCCAGTGTGCACCTAGAGAAGTATTGAGAAGCAGCCAGCGTTGTTTTCTTCTGCAGTTGTTCCTTCGGGGGAATGGAACTGGAAGGCTTCTCAAATGGATTTCAAATTGCGGGAGCAGTAATTATCCTCTTTAGCACAGAGAGAGCGTTGGCTATGTCCAGAGCACTTTGCTAATGCTCCTTGTCCTTCCAACGGCCCTCGTTTGTCACAGTGGGAGGGGTAAGAGGCTTTCCCCAAGCTGGGGAAGGAGCCTTGGTCAGAGCAAGGATTAGAAGCTTTGCCTGACCCATTGGAACCAGCAGAGGTGTGAACACCCTCCCCTCTGGTTCCTCCCTTCTTCCCCCTCTGCATCCTGGATTTTCAGTCACTCACACTCAGTCACACACACACACACACACTCACACACACACACACACACTCACACACACACACACACACTCACACACACACACACACACTCTCTTTCTCTCTCTCTCCTCCCCCCCACCACCACCATCTGACCCTGCTGCCTCTGGAGGCTTCTCCACATGCTCTTGAGGACACGATGGACACTGCTCAGGCCAAGTGGCAGAGCAGGTGGGGATGGGGGAATATGACACTCCCTCACCAGCTGAATAGGAATTAGCAAGGAGGTCAGACGCTTGGTCAGAGTCCTGGTAGGCACGTGGGACCATGGAGTCCCTGTGGGAGCAGCTGTAAAGGAACACACACCAGGAGGGAGGCATAGTGCCTTCACGCAGATGGTGCTGGCTTCCCAAAGCTTCCTGGGCATCTGTTTGGTTTGGGGCGTGCCTTGGTGCTCCCTTCTTCAGGGGCTGGGGGTGAACCTCGTTCCCGAACGGGCCCTTCCTCTTACACTTATTGGCTTCCCTTAATAGGCTGAGCTACGGAGGATCTCCATGTGTTTACCCTGTCCTGGTGTCAAGGTTTTGCTCCATAAGGAGCATGACACCTGTTGGGCAGCAAGTCTCAAATCCTGGACTTAAAACCTAGCGTCTCTCTGAGCTAAAAGCTCTTTTCACTCAAGGCTGTGGCAGGTTCCCATTTCTGTGGCCTAGTCCTAGAGGGGAACAGTGAACCACCCAGCATAAGCGTGTGTGATCCATAATTTTATATCTTTTTTTTTTTAAGCCAACCCTGTAAATAATAGCAAGCAAATGGTCTGGTAGCACTTTATAGACTAACAAAACATGTAGATGGTGGTATGAGCTTTCGTGGGCACAGCCCACTTCATCTGAGGAAGTGGACTGTGCCCATGAAAGCTCATGATACCATCTACATGTTTTGTTAGTCTATAAAGTGCTACCAGACCGTTTGCTTGCTGTTTTTTTTTCTGTAACAGACTAACTCGGCTACCCCCGGAAGCTCCTGTAAATAATGACAAGGTAAGAAATTCTCCCAGGAGCTTTAAAGAGCATGTGTTAAGCAATAGAGAGGCATTTCTTTATGCTGTGTATAGCTACCTCAGTAGGATGTCCGTGTTGCGCTTCCTGGAACTGCATTAAAATAAATACGGACTTGATTGTATCAACGCATGACAGCATTTGCAGCTGTTCATGCTAAGATAAGGTAATCCAAGTTTATGGTTTCAGGGAATGGGGTATAATTATGTTCAGGGGGTCAAGAAGCGTTTTTTCCTGCCATAAACAGTCACTTCACGGATGCTTGAGCGCGCACACGCAGGAGGGGGAAGCTATGTGGCAGATGAAAGTTTGTTTCCTGCTGCAGTTAGCTGACATTTTTAGTGGGAAGAGGGGTTCCTCCCTCTTCCCCCTTCCCCTCCCCACGGCAGAAGGCCGGTTTTGTCAAAATTGACTTGGTAGAAAAATGTTGAATTTTTGGGGGACGAGGGAGAGATTTTTTTTTTTTTTTTAACTGGGACAATCTAATAAATGTTGCTTCGAAGAGACATGTCAAAAGGACACTGCCGGTGTCACCATTGTGGCTTGTTTCCCCATCGAAGGAAAAGTCTGGGTTTTGACCCCCTTTGCTTGTGAACACAGTGCATGTGGCCGTCTGTCTTGCTGCACGGGACCATCACTGTCCTCTGGTGGAAGCAACAGGATTTCATTTTGCCCTTCTCCCTGGTACCTTTCTGGTGAGTTTCTCAAGGCACCTTGTAAATGAAGTGGCTTGACCTTCACAACACCCCGAGAGCTAGGACTGTGTTACTGTCCCCCATTGTACGTGGGAAAACTTAAGAGACAGGCAGTATGGCTTGCCAAAGAGCTTTCTTTTTCCTGGTACACAGTTGAGACTAAACCCCAGCTGTCCTTATTCCAGCGCTTTACCCACTAGACAGACTATTCTTCCCCCTTCCTAAAATAAAGCCAGGTGTAGGGCCTGCTGCAGTTTTGAGCAGAGATGTTTGTCTGTTCGTTGTTAGAAACGGGAACTCATGACCCTATATAAACCTGCTCTAGAACAAGGCCCTACTGGTTCAGGGTTTCTCCCCAACAAGCTGAGGAGAAGTGGAGCTGGCCAGGTACTTTTGTCCCTTTTAACAGGAGCAGTATTACCTAGGGGTGAGAGCGCTAAGCGTTCTATTCCCAGGTAAACCACAAACACATTGGGACCTCGCGTCAGGCGCCTGGGCGCATTTGACAAAGTGACCCTGTGTGCTTGAGTTTATCCATCTCAAATGGGTCTGCACGGTGTCCTGCACATCGTGAGGTTTAACAGTGCCCCCCAGAGCTCTGCTGGTGTCTGTGTGTGTCTCAGTCAAAGAGCTCCAGGTGAGTTTTCTGTTTCTCGACTGACAACTGTTTCAGTCTCATCCCGCAGCCTGTTCTTGTTGCTTTGTAAGAACGGCCAGTCTCACTGTGCTCGCTGCACGGATTCAAGTTCGCGGGACCCCTTTGAAGGGCCACACCGATGGCCAAGCTGTGTGGCGGAAGCATCATAGAACCCTAGAACCAGAAGGGACCTCAAGAGGGTCCCTCATGGCAGGACCGAGCACCGTCTAGAGCAGTGTTTCTTAAACTGTTCCGTGGTACACCGGTGGGCTGCGAGGCAGTCAAAGTATGCTGCGGAGAACAGCACAGTTCAAAATGGCTGCCCTTAAAGGGGCAGGTGACTTTTTTGGCTCAATAACTCTTCTCTCCCCCCTCCCTGGGACATTTTTTTTTTCTCAACAAAAAATCCTTGACCGTCCCTGCGAGATGTCTCTCCACCCTGCTCTTAAATATCTGCAATGAGGAAGATTCCACAGCCTCCCTTGTCAATTGGCATCAGAGCGTGAATGGCCCAATAAAAGTCCAGGCCTGATTCTTCCTGCCATCTCCTCTGGTGTAAATCTGGTGGAACGCCACAGAGAGTGACGGGGGTATATGTTGGAGGGGAATCAGGCCAACAAGAACGAAGACCGACCTAATGCTGCAGGTGTGAGGCTGCTTTGCCCCACACTGTGTCACTGAATGACCTGAAGCTGGCTGTGTGTGTGTGTGTGTGTGTCTGTCTGTCTGTCTGTCTGTCTGTCTGTCTGTCTGTCTGTCTGTCTGTCTCTAACCCCTGAAGATCAGTCGCTGGAGCATCAATTCTCTAGTAAGTATACCCAAGCCCTCAGCTTGAGGTTAGGCGGCGTCTGTTAAAGGAGCAGATAGGTGAGGTTCTGAGGCTGCAACATGCAGAAAGTCAGACTGGATAACCATAACAGTACCTTATGGCCTTTAACATCGGAGTCATTTCTTCCAAAAGCCATCCAGTCTGGATGTGAAGACACGGAGAACCTAGCCCTTCCCTTGGCAGTTTGTTTCAATAGCTAATCGCTGTTGCTGTTAAAAACCTGTGCCTTCTAATGTGAATTTGCCTGTCTTTAACTTCAAGCCTTGCTCTGTTAAATTAAATAGCCCTTTAGCAGCTGGCTTGCTATGCAGGATTCTCTCACTGTGAAGGTACTTACATGCCATAATCAAGTCCCCTCCTGATCATGTTTTTTAATAAGCTACATCAAGGAGCTACTCTAGTTCAACTTCAAATGATTGGACTCCGTGCCAGAATCATGGGGCAAAATTATATGGTCTGTGTTATGCTGGAGATCAATATAGCAGCGCTTTTTGGCCTTAAAATCTCTGAAGCCTCTGCTCTGAATGGTAGATTGCTTTTCTGTATTGCATACCCTGAGCCTGGAGTGCTAGTGAGAGTGGGTGTCTGTTTGCCTTAAGGGAAATGGGAGAAAAAAAGAACTCAAAATAAGTGTAGTCTACCGTATTGCCGCTAGAGGGCAGGATCACCCACTCTTTGGGAAGGGCCATGGGCCCAACAGAGTTAGAAAGCAGCTGGTTCTCTTATTCAGGCAGTGAATGTGTCTTGTGCAATTCATTTCACAATGAGAATCTTCATGGTCCATCCACCACCGACCAGAGACACTCCTGAGGAGCCTGCTGAGATGCGTGATGGATAAGGTTTAAATCACTGAACGTACAAAGGTACAAGGGAAGATCAGCGACGTTAAGCCAAACCATAAAGCAATCTCCACACTTAACTGATGGTGGGTGTTTAGGGTCTCATCTGATGAGCAAAGTCATTTCCCAGCAACCCGAACACAGGCAGGATTTGAGACTGGTCACAAAAATGTTCCCAGTTGTGGCTTGAGAAGATGCCCAAATAATCCAAGGAAAGCTGTGAATTGTATAAAACTTAAATACCTTAAAGATCTGGGCCCGAGAGCCATATTACATGTCGACTGCAGTACGTTTGGACTCCAGCAGCAAACCACCTGGCTAAAATAGGAGAAGTGGGCCTGTGAAATTAATTTCACAATCGGAATCTTCATGGCCAAGCCTACCACAGATCAGATACACTAGAGAAGAGCCTGCTAAGGTGTC